TTGAGTTGGGGAGGGCGATAGTGGGGGAGAGAGGAGGGAGGGGTGGGGGAGGGGGGGATTTTATATAAGGGAGGAGGAGGTGGGGTGGGGGGGGGGATAAGGGGATATTATTAAAGGGGGGGAGGGGGTGGATGGGATATTAGGGGAGGGGGGCGTGGGGGGGATTTATGAGCGGGGGGGGTGGGGGGGAGTGGGGGGGGGGGGTGGCGGAGGGGGGGGATGGGGCGGGGGGGCGGGAGGGAAGATTGGGTGAAGGCATTTTTAGGGGATTTAAGGGGGGGGGGGGGGGGGTGCGGGGGGGATATGGGGGGGGGGGGGGGAGGGGGTCGTGGGGGGGCTGGGGTGAGTTAAAAGGGGACGGGATTTTTAGGGGGGAGGGGGGGGGGGGGGGGGGGGCTGCGATCGATAAGGGGGGGATGGCGTGGGAAATTTAATAATTAGGGGGTGGGAAGGGGGGGGGTGGGATAGGGGGGGGGTGAATATTATATATTTTTTTGGTCGGGGGGGGGGGGGGGAGGGGGGGGGGGGGATTGGTAGGGTAAGGGGGGAGGGGGAGGGGGGGAAGTGGATACCGAATATTCTCAAGTATCCGCCATATATATACCACCTAAACCCGCGGCCAACAGACTGTGAGTCCGGCGACCTTCTTACTACTATCACTACTGCGATAAACGAGCGCACCCACCGTGCCCGAAACGTGATCGTCTTCAACGTTCGTGAAAAACTTCCCTTGGATAATGTCACCCGCCTACTTACGTCCATGTGTAACATCCCTCCTGACACGTGCGTGAGTAAGCGGCTCAGAAAATCGAAGTTCAGTCGCAATTGCTCTATCGTTGTCGTCTTCAAAAGGCAAGAACTGGCTACTCGCTTCACAGCAAATCAATTTACCTTACTAACAAACACAAACATTGGGCCTATTCTTTTCAAGCCTGATCTAACGCCGTTGCAAAGAGCTTTCCTACCGGATACTAATACCAAAGCGAGACAACAGCTTCATGATTCATCGCCGACTGCCAGAGCTACCGCTTGCTTTACGACAAGCACTAACGTGGAGCTGGACCTAACTCCCTGGGGCACGCGTCCACGACAGCATTACATACAGCCTCAAGCCCCACAGCCCTAATAGATAAAAAGACAACCAACGTTCCAGGCTCGCCGCCGCTAACGATACAGGAGGCTGAGTCAATGCATAACGCCTCCGACATGAGTGACACCGCTTCCGAACCTATCAATGCAGACTTCCAGCTGATCAACTCCCTTCCTTCCCCTCGTGCAAAGCCGAAACCACCCTCGAAACACAACAGACTACCAACAAAGGTCAACAGCCGAAACACGGCACGCCCCGTATTACGAAGCGCTCCCCACTGACGCATCACCATAACAAAGATAACCCTACCAAAGCAATGTCCTCGTGGCGCAAACGGACAGCTGATATGCACCAATCAACACCTGTACCAATGGATTGTGTGAGGTCGAAACCATTCTGTTCCCAAACGCCGCCCTCCACGCAGGTTTCGACCCAACCCGCCCAATCACTGCCCAAGCCCTACCTACTCGAGGCGCCCAACAATGCTATTAAGCCCCAGAAATATAACAAATACCGCGGCTTTCAAAAACTGAGGACGTTCTACCAGTCACCACAACAAAATGGAACTATGAGCAGCCCGCACAGCATCAACGCAGTGATTCCCCTAATAACTAACTATCCGCCTGGTACGCTGTCGCCCAGTCGGCCCTACAAAAAGCGCTATGCCATCCAAACGTCAAGTACACAACCCCGTTACCAATCCCCACAACCTCTCGAAACAGTGGGGAACAAAGCACCCTTACAAGGACGACGCCCTTCTAAAAATCTCTTCAGCTCCATCAACACTATCCCGCACTCCCTGACCAACCGTTCTCCTGAACGAAAAATATATCCGAATTACAACACTTCAACCGGGCCATGCCATCCACAGCCCCTTTTTTCTGGGATGCAGCAGGACAGGATCCACCTCGTCCATTCCACCAAGAGTTCCTGCCAGCTATCAATTACCTCTAACAACTCATATGCTCACTGCAACTAACCCCCACGGTTGGCAACAGCCATCCGGGTAGGTTCTACAGCCAATAATATTACCACAGCCTCCTAAACGGCCGACTACAATCAGCTACCTACTCAATCACTTCCTGATCACATTCCTATATCACCCTCTCCACCGTTTCTTACCACTTCCATGTACCCTGCGCCAGTTGCACCCAATTTTGCAACTTACCTCACACAATCTAACTCCTTCAACTTCCTTGCGTTGCATCATACAGTATGCTGCTTATTAATGCGCGATCTACTACACCCAAGGTGCACCTCATTGGCCCATTTATCCTACTCCCATACCCACGGCTGGTTCTCATCTTAAAAACGTGGCACCCCTCAAATGCCTCTGACAGCCTACTATGCATCACTGGCTACACCACATTCTGTAACGGAAGAGACAACCAGCTTGGTGACCGTTGCCTTATCTATGTCTAGGACGACTTTGGTGCACCCGATTTCGAACCGTTATCTATAGGTGACCCTGAAGACTCCATCTGGATCAAGACGAAAGAAGGTCAACTTGACCGCCTTATCGGTTGCGTATACAACCCTCCACGCACCTCTAGCGAAAAGGTTAATAAAATCACTAAGCTTTTCACTGAAATCTCCATAATGCCCCCACGTCACAAGATAGTGGTTGGCGATTTCAATATGCAACTTATCCCCTGGAACGCCCAGGCCGCCCCACTCAGCTACAGAAGTTTTGTTGACACCGTCCACGTAAATAACTGGACTCAACAAGTTCACCATCACACCAGGCTTTCTAACACCCTAGACTTACTCTTTACGCAGGGTGTCTCTGATGCAGTCGCTGGTATATTAGATAATATACAAGGCTGCGACCACAAGTTAGTTAAACTCATATTTGCACTTTCTACTCCACACTGCACCACTTCTTCTGTCAAACAGTTTCTAATGTTCAACCACATTAACTGGGACAGCTTTGAGATATTAGTGCGATCTGCGAACTGGAACAACTTCTTTTTAGCTACTGATGTAGACGCAGCCGCACACGACCTATATATAAAGCTCTCCAGCCGCCTAGATGTGATCACCTCACTCACTTGTAGAAGCCGCTTAAGGATGACAGTAAAATCAGCAAAGGCCTACGGTGTACTTAGGAAGATCAAAAAATGCGCCAGCGATACTCCAAAACTAAGGAATTCCACATACTTGTTCGCAAGAACGAAATCCTAACCAACTGGCAAACTGCGCAGGAATCAGCTAAGATTGCTGAAGAAGCTTCTGCCCATAAATCTAACAATAAAACCAAGTCACTCAGTCAACTACTTTGACAAAGACGCAACCAAAAATCTACCCCTGGTGCCTCACTCAGACTTTTTGACACATCCGTTATTAGCGATCCATCAAAAATATGTGTGACCCTCACTGGATACTTCTGCGAGTCTTTCACCCGCGCAAACGGAACCTCATCTGCTATGCCAGCTAGGCACACCAATGAATCACCCGACCCTATTAAATTTGACCTACGTTCTATCACTCGAGTAATCAACTCAGTCAAATGGTCATCACATCCTTGTCCCGATGATCTCACCTCTGCGTTGCTGATAATCGGTGGCCAGGACGTTCCAGTTCTACTTCTCAACCTATTCACGCTTTCCATGACTAGCGGGATTAATCTAACCACATGGAAACACGCCACCGTCATCTCCTAACACAAAAGGGCAGTCAGCAGAACATGGAAAACTATCGCCCCATCAGCCACACGCCTATAGCTTCAAGAGTAAGGGAACGAATAGTCAAAGAAACCATGCTCACCATCCTGCTTACTCGTAACCTCGTCAATCGACAACAACATGGCGTTCTGCCATCTAAATCCTCTCAGATCTGCCAATTTGAGTTCATCAACCATGTAACTCAACAGATTGACAACAAGCAAGCACTAGCCATCCTCTTCCTAGGCAGGACAAAAGCCTTTGATACAGTACCACATACAGAACTATTGATGAAGCTGGAATCATACAGTATCTCCGGCAAACTGCACACTTGGTTATCATCATACCTTACAGCTCGCTCACAGTCAGAAATGGTTAGGGGCTTTATGTCACTTCCAAAAGCAGTCAAAAGTGGCGTAATTCGAGGAAGCTTTTTAGGCCCTCTACTTTTCCTGCTCTATATCAGTGACGTGTTCCAGGTCTTCCAACATGGGACAACCTACCTGTTTGCCAACGACAGCAAAAGTGTCTACCCACTTCATCCATCAAACTTCCACACCGCCCTCTCCCATATACAATACGCCGTTGTGTCGTTCGTCCTACTCGCATCAACTCTTCTTGATAGCAGCTAGCCATTGTTGGCTCCATGTAGCTTGCAAGGAGCCACTCCCTGACTCTACAGCCCTCATTTTCTTCTGCCGTCTGTCTCGCCAAGCTTCGCTCGCATGTTGATTTCTTCATTGAAACTGTAGGTATCCAGTAGTGATCAAACGTCTTAATGATATGGCTTCAACAGCGACTGATATATTCTTTTCTAGAGCCAATATCTCTGCTTAGCAACAGCTAGTCACCATAGCTTCCACTTAACTTTGCGGATATCCGCAAAGTCACAGCTCAGCTTGTCTGTTGACCTATTACCTGAACTATCACTTACCCTCACTGGCCTGTTGATACCCTCAGCGACCCTATAGGCATACGCTATTGACCAAGCGTCTGATTGGACTGGCTACATCTGGCCACTTAGACTCTCCTAGCGCCACATCTGTCGGTCGTCGTAAATTCGGCATCTCTTTTCAGAAGTAGCTAGCAGCCATTGGCCCCATGCATATGCGATGATTTAATGCTTGTTAGGAGCCACTCCGTATCTCAATAACCTTTGTTCCCCTAGAATACCCTCATCCAATCCTTCCGCTGCCCTGCCACCAATTAATCTTTAGGACGCTCGCGGCAACCTATGTATTTTCGCTTATTATGCGCTCCCTCTCGGATTACGCTAACTACGTGCTGTTCATGCACCTGACAATCACTACCATTATTCTAACTCTCCTTGCTCTATCCCTACGCAATTATTGGCTCCTACTAAAAGGATACTTCGTGCTTTACTTACTTGTACAACGATCTTGTCTCTACGCAGGCGTTAGCAATCCACCCATAAGGCTTATGATTCTGTAGGATATCCAAAAGACATTTTCAACATAATTATTGTTGCACAGTGTACATCCTTTTGTCTAAAGCCCAAATGCTGTAACTTAAGACATTAACAATGTTCAACTCCATGCCTGTTCCTGCGGTCTTCTCTCGGTTGTCCCTCACTTTCCCTTTTCTCTGAGGTCGGGGACTTCTTGGAGATCTGGGATTGGACTGAGAAACAGTTTTGACCCTAGACGGACGCAACAACCCA